CCAGACACACACCCGCTCTGACCAGGAATGCTCCGCCCACCTGGTCTCTGCAGTTTAAAGCAACTCATGAGCCCTCTGCAGGAGCCAATGTCACATTTCTAATGTTCTTATGAAATCTGACAAAGTCTTTAAAAATGTGCAACGGCAGAGCTAGAGGGGCTTGAGGAGTCTTAGTACACATAGGGAAACTGAGGCTGAGGAGAAGTTAAACTATATAAAGACCCACTTTCCCCCAACTTTCTCCTCCTATCTCTAAGAGAAAGCCCCTTGAGCTTTATTCAGAGGAGAAAGCAGATGCCAAGCTGGCAAAACATGCCTCCCCGGCTCGAGACCAGAAGTTCTTGTGAGCAATCAATTGATCAGCACCGGAAAGAACAGCTTTCCCATTCAACATATCCTAGAATGTTGTTGTTGCTGATTTGAGACAGGGTCTCGCTACACAGTTCGGGCTGGCCTCGAACTCACTGCTTAGCCCAGACTGGCCTCGAATGCCCAGCCATCCTCCAGCCTCAGCCTCCCAAGTGCTAAGATTACAAGAGTGCGCCACCAGGTCAGGCTGTAGTCCTAGAATGTTAAAGCAGGAAGACGTCAGAGATCAGTTGGTCAGATTTTTGACCCAAAGCAAAAATTCCGGAAAAATTCCCAGATCTCTATCTCTGAAGTGTCTTTTCCCCAAATTCCAGACACCTTTATCACTTATCTGTGCTCGGAGGTCTAAGCGCCCCCCTCCCTGGCTCAAGTGTACCCCACACCTGGACCAATGTAAGGCCCCGCTCCCCAGCTAAGGGACTCCCCATCCTTCACGGATTTCAGGCTACAGCCATGGAGTTATTCTTGGCTCTCCTCTTTCTCTCTCACCCCACATCTACCCTATCAGGGAAGCCTTCTGGCTCCCCTTCGAAATGTAATCCCAGCACTGGGGAGGCTGAGGCAGGAGGATGGATGTGCACCCAAGGCTGGTCTGAACTATACATTGAGACTCTGTCTCAAAAAAAGAAAACGTCCCCAAATCTGATGACATCTCATTTCTTTCCTGCCGTGACTCCAGTAGAAGCGCCCCCACCTCTTTCCAGAGTCCTCTCCCTGCTTCCAACTTTGACTCTCCAAACTGTTCTACTCAACTGTTCTTCTCAGCTAGAGGATTTTTCTTTTGCTTTTTGAGACAGGGTCTGCTATGTAGCTCAGGCTGGCTTTGAACTCACTATGTAGCCCAGGCTAGCCTTGAACTTGCAGTGATCTTCCTGCCTCAGCTTCCTGAGTGATTTTTTGCTTAATTCTAAATTAGATCACATCACTCCTTTGCTCAGAAGATCCCAGGGGCTCCTATGTGACTCAGAATAAAAGCCACAGCCCTCTAGTGGCTCATGGCCCCACCTAGTCTACCCTTCCCAGCCCCATCTCCCTCCTGACTGCAGTTTCTACTCTCTCATTCATGCTGCCTCAGCCTCCCTGGGGTCTGGAACTTGCTCCTGCCATAAGCTGGGGGAGGGGCTATCGCTGTCCCCGTCCCCCGCCCCATCTGGAACAAGCTTCCCCCAAATAGCCACAGGGCCTAGAAATTGTATTCTCTAACGCTTCATCTTTGAGCCCCCTCCCAATTTCTAATATTTTTCTAATACTTAGAACCTTTTACTGTAATATAATTTACTTATTATTTATTTATTTTTTTGGTACTGGGGATCAAACTCGGGTCTTTGCACTTGCGTAGCAGGTGGCGAAACCACTGAGCTACATCCCCAGCCCCATTTACTTATTTATTATATTTGTTGTTTTGTCTTCTTCCACTAGAACAGAACCCCCTGAAGACAGATACCTTTGTCAGTTTTGTTCACAAATACACCCCAGAGTCTAGACTGTGTACTCCAGGCCCTCCTCGGTGGCCATCCCATCAGTCGAGACCCTGCTCTGAGCCATGGCCTGTAACCTATTCTTTCTTCCCCAAAACCCCCCATCACCTGCTTTTTTAAAAAGTGGAACTGGGGGTGCTGGGGATTTAGCTCAGTGGTGCCGCCGCCTGCCTCGCAAGCGCACAGTCGCGAGTTTGAGCCCTGGAACCAAAAAAAAGTGGTACTGGGGGTTGAATTCAGGGCCTTCGCGCTGAGCTCTATCCCCGGCTGTTTTTTCTGAGACAGGACCTTGGTGAGCTACTAAGTTGCCCGGGCGAGGCTCCTCTCACAGTGTTCCGATTACAGGTGTGGTTAATTTGCGATCCTCCTGCCTCAGCCTCTCAGAGAGCTAGGATCACAAGTGTGTACCGCCACATTTAGTTACCAGTCAGCCTTTGGCTTCTGCCCCCAGGAGTCAAAGTCCTTGGCACGGCCACTTCCCACACAGCTGGGCCACTGCTGTTTCCACACTGATGTTTTCCCTCCGGGAGGGCCCAAGGCAGCTGGCTGGATGGTGGAGGGCGTCTGAAGGGGGTCGCTGATTGTGGGCCAGGCTAACACACCATTGAGTGTCCCTCCCGCCGCAGCAGGGCAGAGCAGCCAGGCACTGCTGAGGAGGGGGTTCCGCTCAGGGATGGCGTGGTCAGCCTCCAGAGGGCTGAGAACAGCTTTCAGAACCTCTCCTGTCCCCTCCTGCGACTGGGCTGTTGACATTCCGGAAGCGCTGATGCAACCCTGAACATTCATTCCCGCAGCTGCAGCCTTCTCCCCCGGGTGGTGTCAGCTCCGAGCCTGCTTTCTGGGGTGTTTTTGGTATGGAGTGTCCTGGCAGGTGAAAGATGGGCTGTGCCGGTGGCCCCGTCAGGTCTCTGGAGCCCAGATCCGATACTGAGCCCAGATCCTCTGCCAGGGTTCGGGCTGCATGCGCCCACTCCCCCTGCCTGGTCCACTTCACCGCTGGCTCCCAGGAGGTTCAGCTGATGGACCACAGGAGCACCCAGATCGCAGGCCCAGGCCCTTGTGTTGCCCTTCCTTCGCACAAAGCCATCCCAGCACCTGCAGACCTGTTAGAAAGGGCTGGAGGGCTCTGTCCTCTCCCTTCAGGCCCACACTACATATAGGACCATCTCTGTGATCTCTTTTTCCTCCTTTCCTGCTCTCCCTCTCCCTCTCCTTTCTCCCCTTTTTTTTCCCTTAGAGACAGGGTCTCTCTCTCTGTAGTTCAGGGTAGCCTTGAAGTCACTACATAGCTGAGGCTCAAACTCACAGTGATCCTCCTGCCTCAGCCTCCCTGGGATTACAGGCATATCCCACCATGCCTGCCACTCTTTTTTCCTAGCTCCCTCTTAGGGCTTGAAGAGACCAGGGCATTTGCAGCAGAGGTTATTGCTGTACTTCTTATGCCTGGCAAAGAGCCTGGCATGTAATAGACGCCCAATGAATATCTGTACTTCCAATCACATCTACTCTTTTTTTCCTTCCAGTATCGGACTGAATTCAGGGCCTCTAAATTGAGCTACATCTGCCGCTCTTTTTCACTTTTTGTTTTGAGACTGGGTCTTGCTAAGTTGTCTTGGCTGGTCTGGAACTTGCAATCCTCCTGCCTTAGCCTCCCAGTATGCTGGTCCAACCACCTCTATTCTTTTACCCAATTCTCCAACCCCACCAAGTTCAAACTGAATCCCCTTGCGCACAAGACTGGCCCTCCCATAGATGTGGGTTTGAAATCTGCTTTTCCTACTAGGCTACTTAATTAACGCTTTTGAGTCTCCATTTCTTTTGTAAAATGAGAATGATTAAAAAAAAAAACAACAGGGGACGCCAGACTGACAAGGCTTATAACAAGGCTATAGTCAGAATGAAATGGGGCAACACAGGAAGTACTTAAAAAACGGTAGCATCCACTGCCATCTCCCAAGATGCAATTCTTCTTTCCCTGCTCCAAACTCCTTTTCAACATCAGCTGCACAATTTCCCACTGAGTTTCTTACTTGTGGTTCCTGCCCTCCGATCTGCAGCCTCCTGGAAGCTAAGGTCTAATTTATCACCCAGACTGGGCTCGAAGGCCCTCTAGGCAGCCATTTCCCATCTAGGGGGAAATTTCCCAGCAAGCTCAGGGCCCAGGCCTGTATCTCTTCTGGAGTCGCCCGAGCCCTGCGGAGGGGGCGGTGCTCAGTCGGACGGCTCTCAGGAGAAGCACCCCGATCCTCCACCCTTCACCTAGCAGTTCTTCCTGCACCCACAGGTGCTTTGCCCTCCCCTCTCTTCCCCAGACTCCGCGACGTTTTCAGCTCTGCAGGTGCAGAAAGGAAAGGTCGGCCTCCCTACTGGGCAGACGCCGACAGCTGCCAAGGACAGGTGTGCAGTGCGGGGGAGCTGAGGCGCTGGAGTTGACCAGGGCTGAGGTGGGGATAGCTGTGAATACCAGAGCAGCTCAGCGCTGCGCACGGAGGCCGAGGCCGAGGCCGGGCCAGGGCCGGCGGCCGCCCCCTGCACTTTGTCCTCGTCCCCCTTTCATTCCCAGTCCTGGAGCCCGGAGCCCGGGACTTTCTCAAAGGCGCAGGCTGCGGGGCGGGGTGCTCTGCAGGGGGCGGCTGTGGGGGTGGACATTCCAGGCATTCCTTACTTCCTCCAGGAGTCTGGAGCGGGGCGGCGGGAGCAGGGGCTGCGCGGCCCTGGAGGAAAGAGGATTTCTCGGGAGGGAGCGAATAAAGGCTGCGGGGGCGTCTTCAAGCGGCAGGGGGCGGGGCGGCCAGCCGACAGCGGGAGGGGCGGGCCAAGCGCGCGCACCCAGTTATTCCTTTAGTGTCACCACTGGCTGGAGGAGCAACCTGGGACCTCGGCAGGCCCAGGGCTTTTCCCTTTTCCACCGAATGCTCAGTGGGGTCAGACCAGAACTGCCGCCGCAGGAGACAGCGGGGTCCTGGGAAGCTTGGAGCCATTTGTATGTGTGGGAGGGGTGCTGGGCTTGAGCATGCAGACTAAGCAAGGGCTGTACCATCCAGCTGCATCCCCGCCCTTTGGGCCTGTTTTCATTGAGCAGCTTCTGTGTCCCACCAATAACAGCTCAGGCTTAGAGAACTCTGCGCACCCCCTCCCACCCCCCACAAAACAGAAGCCTTTTCTCAAATCACTATTCTGGTTTTAATGGAGTGTTTTTTTCTGGCCACAAAGGAGGATAGACAGCATCAGGGCGCAGCATGAAGGGAGCCAGCAATCCATTTCCAGACAGTGCAAAGAACATATGGGTTTGTAAAAGACTCCCTCTCCTGATCATGGGGCATCCTGCAAAAATACCTCTCTGGGGCCGGGGATTTAGCTCAGTGGTTCCGCTGCCTGCCTCACAAGCGCAAGGACCCGAGTTTGATCCTCGGTACCAAAAAAACCAAAAAACAAAGAAACAAAAATACCTCTCCGTACAGGAACTTAGACGTCATAGTGGATCTCCACCAAACATAGCATTCACAGTATGAAAAACAGCAAGATTCACCTTTTTTTAAAAAAACAGAGTTGAGAACATAAACTATTTAAAAATAAATAAGGACATCCTAGGGCCCTGAAAGCCCAGAGAAACAGACACATCCACAGTCTAGACTTCAGGAGCAGCTTAGAGGCACAGAACTTTGAGTCTCTGAGGTCCAAGGTGGGGTCCAGAGGAACCTGGACTCCTGAGGTGAGGCCAAACAGCAGCCTGAGCCTTTTCAAGTCTTTTAAATTCATAAGCAGCCACTTCAGGTAGCCGGGACTTGGAGCGGAGGATGGGAAAAGAGAACCTTTGAGGAAGCAGAGGCTGTTTTTACTCCTGGGATGCACGAGGCAGGGTCCTCCAGGCACCCCCAGCTCCCGTGGTTGGTGGGGTGGAACGGTGTGAAGACTGCCCCTGCCCACTTTGATAGGGATGAGCCCGGGCGGGGCTATGTTTAGAAGGCACCAGGATCGAAACTCATGGCAACCAGGATGCAGACCCGGATGGAGCGCTCTTTCCAGGTCCCCACAGCCCTTCCACGATACAAGACACGGCGCCTGGACCATGCTGTTGCCTTCCCATTCCTCTGTCACCTTCCTGCTTCCATCAGGCAGAAGACACTGAACCCTTGGAGCACTGGATTCACCCCCTCTCCCATCCAGGGCTCCACTGCAGACCCTCAGCTGAGATTTGGGTCCTGGGAGGAGGTGCTGTGCCCACAAGTGCAGCCAGCTGCATCTTAGAGCCTGGCTGGGCTGGGCCAACGCCCCAGGACCGGACCATCAGCTGAGCTTGGAGCAGACCCCCAGGGCCTGGCGGTAGGCCTCCGTCACCTCCTGGCAGCCTGTCAGGGAGAAGCAGCTACTGCTCAGGGGGTCCTGCTGCCAGCGCCTCAGGCGGCTGCCAGGGCCCTGGGAGGGGGGTTCCTCAAGCCCCGTGAGGTTGTCCACAGACACGCAGCCCCGAAGAGGGGGCTCGGGGAGCCGTTCAGGCAAGTCCAGCTGGTCAAAGGACTCAGAGGATAGGATGCTGTCCTCACTCACGGCCCCCGATGGGGAGGGGCGGCTGGCCCGGGCTGGGGCGAGAGGAGTGGCCAGCTGGTCCAGGGAGCCGAAGGTGGTGGGTGCTGTGAGGTCCAGGGCTGTGCGGGAGAACTTCCCGTTGACTTTGAGGATGCCCTTGGGATGGAAGAGCAGCCCCGGGGGCTGGGGCGGTGGCTGTTCATCCTGGTCCCTGCTCACAAACACATCACCTGCATCCAGGAGCTCCCCAGACTCGCTGGGCTCTGGAGAGGAATAGTAGCCTGACTCGCGCTGCCGAGACTTCTTGAGGATGCCCTTCTTGGGGAGCAGGGGGGCGGCCTGCCCGGTGCCCTCAGGAACAGTGCTGGGCTCCTGCACGTCCGTCTGTGCCCCCTCCGAGGAGGATGACGCCCTCTTCTTGAGGATGCCCTTTGGCAGCTTGAGGCTGCCCTTCCCAGGACGAGGACAGGAGTCCTCAGCCAGGTTGTCCTGGAGAGACCGGGCCATGTCATTTTCCTTGCGGGACTTCTTGAGCGAGTGCTGGCGCTCCAGGCCAGGTGTCTGCATTGTGCTGCCACTGCCCCCAGGCGCGTGCTGCCTGAGGAAGCTGCACACCTTGGCCCCGTTCTCCAGGAGTGGGCGGGAGGATCGGCGGAGCCAGTCGGACACGGAGGCACGGGCAGAGTCACTGCTGGAGTGCCCAGCCTCGCGCACAGCCTCCGGCTCCCCCACACGGGTGGCGTAGCCCCAGTTGACCCACCAGTGAGTGGCTACATCCTCCAGTGTGGCCCGGCGGGTGGGGTTCACCATCAGGAGCCACCGGATCAGGCCACAGGCATCTGGAAGACACAGGCAGGGGATTTGGTTTGGTAGAAAGGGTGCCCCATGGCCTCCCTCACTGGATGGTCCCCATTTGAGTCAAGACACCGCTCACCTTTGGGACCCGGATGTGCCATGGACCAGGGAGGTCCCCAGGCCAGCTTTCCCAAGAAGACTCTCCAATCCCAGACCCTTTGGCCCCCCTTGCTGGAATGTACACATAAAGTGGACCTTCCTTTGTCTCCACTGACAGTCAACCCTCTGAGGTAAGGACTGTGCCCAGTGGTGAACTAGGGCTCTTAGACACCTCTTCCTGCCTTTTGCATCACATGAAAGATCTCTGGGGACGAGGACAGAAGCAACAGACAATTGTACCCCAGAGGATCTAAGCTGGATCTTAGGAAGCACTTCCCAAATGGAATCAAATACTCTCACTGGGGAGGACACATCCTCTCCTTGTGCAGAGGTCTCAGATACCAGAGGTGTGACTGGAGGGCACCTAATCTACTGGAAGTCACCGTGGACTGTTGCTCTCTGGACTTTAGTGCCAGTGTTTAATTCCGGCCTCAGAAATCAGGGATGCACACCTAGGCCTAGATGAGAAACCCATTACACTCACTGACCTGAGGGCTTGGGTGGGTCTCGGTACGCCCCATTGCTGATCTGCTTCACCAGCATCTTGTGGTCCTGCCCGTCAAAGGGCATGGTGCCATGCACCAGGATGTAGAGGAGAACACCCAGGGACCAGCTGTCCACCTGAGAGAGAGAGGGAGAGAGGGATCGGGTCAGCAAGGATACCCCATGCCACAGGCTGGGGAGCTGCCAGCCTCACCTCCAGAGCTGGGGGAAGAGGGACACAGGGAGGGCAGGGTGGGGCCCGGGGATGACCCCCTTTCATACCCAGGCACAAAGATGGGACAATGTAGAAGGTGCTGAGGCTCATGGGGGAAGATGCTGCCTGTGCCCTCCCTGGGAAGGACAGCCACAAGCACAGAGCCATGGCCAGGCCAGCCCTTCTGAGTAGCCATGACAGCTGCCATGTCATTCCTGGGAGGCTGGATCGGGTACTGGGAGGGACATGAGAGGGACAAGGAAGAAATGGGGAGTCATCTAGCACCATTTCTGCCAACCCTGACTAGAGGCCTGGCAAGTCACTGTTCAGGGTCCTGAGTTTTATGCTGTGATAAAGGAATTGACTAGAAAATAGCCCGTCCATCCCTTAAGGCCTGAAGTCACAGAAAGTGACTGAGGCAGGTAGAGGAGGGGCCACTCACCTCTGGGCCCATGTAAGGTTTCCCGTTGACGATCTCGGGTGACGCATAGAGCGGGCTCCCACAGAATGTCTGCAGGAACTTGCCTTGGTGGTAGAGGTTGGAGAGACCAAAGTCGGCGATCTGCAGGATTGAGACAAACATGGATGTGGTCATACCAAGGCCTGGGTTGCTCTGCAGCTTTCAACCAGCCATTCTCTAGAGCCTGAAGAAACTCCAGCAGAAGGAAAGGGTCCCTTGGCCCTCCACCCCACACTGGACACTGTCACCATAGCTCGGTTCCTGGAAGGAAGTGCCCCAAGGATCAGTGTCAATGAACAGCATGCAGGCAGAGGTATGTGGGGGCCCAGGATGCCCAGCACTCACAGACCCTTTTGCTCATGCATGCTGTGTTCCACCTGGGAAGGCTGCCTCCTGCATGTGCACAGCTTACTGATCCTGTGTGTCCATCTCCCTGAGAAGCCCTTCAGGGCCCCAGATCTTTTCCTATGATGCCCTACAGTTTCCAATGGCTCCCTTCAGCTCTCTGCTCATCAGCTCTGCCTTCCAGCCTTATATGCTCCCATATGGACGTCCTCACCCCACCTGCAGCGCCTAACACAGGGAAGGCCTTCTACGGGGCTCAGTGGACACTTTCGGACCACATGGAGGGTCAGCCAGATGGAAGAGGAGGGGCAATCTCATGCCACTGCCATCTCCCTGAGAGGCAAGCCAGGCCCCGAATGATAACCCATGCCAGGCCTGAGCTGCCCTTGCCTGTCAAGGCTCACCTCTGTGCCCACAGAGATCACTAAGAGGCAACGGGGAGAGCAGGACAAAGATCAGGGCTGTGTCTCTAGCCCAGGAGAAGGGATCTTGTAGGACTCCCTGAGCCTCTGAGTCTGAGGGCTCCAGAGGCCCCAACCCGAGCTCTCACTCCCTACAGACCCTTTCCACCTGGCTCCGGCTAGAGGGAGAGGTCCATGCCCTGATGCTCCCCTCCAAACTCCACAGAGGGCTGCTGCGCCCCGTGTGGGGAGGGACTGTTTATGAAACTTGTTCCTTTGTTTATGGTTTTATTGGCCTCTTATCAAACAGTTACCAGGTGAAGCCCATAACAAGCCCTATGCCCCGTAGAGAAAGGAATGCGTGCCTGTCCAGGTTATGTGTTCACAGGCACTGCCTTCCCTGCCCCCACGCATCAAAGAAAGCCCCACCTGCTCCGGGAACTGGCCAAGTGCAGGGAAGAACTCGGTCCTGGGGCACCACAGGGCACAGGTCAGGAACTTCATCAGAGACTATGGTCTGGGTCCGAAAGACTGAGGAGGCTCAGAATGCAGAGTCACCTTCCTGGGTGCCTGCCAGCCCAGCCCCTCTGCATCACCTGGCTTTAACCATCTGCCCTTTCCAGGCCTGAGATCTGAGTTCACCCCGTCACTGTGATCTCCCGACTGACCGAAATGTAACTACTTTGGCATGGAAATCCAGCAACAGCAGCAAATAGGAAGCTGGCACTCGGGGTGCTCCATTGTCAGGAAAGGTGCCAAAGGGCTGCCTCCTCACAGCGGATTTGATTGTGCGTGCATGCGTGTGTGCTTGTGAGTGTGCATGTGCAGAGATAAGGAGCTCGGACCATGACCCTGTCCCTGCTGGTCCCAAGGCCGTGAGCGAAGACTGGCCCTAGATCTAGACTCCTGTCAGCCTTGTGACATCCAAAAGAGCACTGGGGTGTGAGTCAGAGATCTTGGTTCTAGCCCAGGCTCAGCCTCTTGCTAGCCATGTGACGCTATGCAAGTTAGCCCTCATTTCGAGGCCTCTGTCCTCATCCTGTGGCATCAGAGGTGTTGGAATGGGTGATGGCCAAGGTCCCTAACAGTGCCAACGGTGTTCTGCCCAACTCCTTCAGGAACCCACTAAGAGCTCAGAGCTGTGTGGCTGGTTACAGTGCAGAAAACCCAGAGTGAAATAGGCAAGATCTGCAGGCTAAAAGTGGGGCTCACCTTGATATTTCCATTGGCATCTAAGAGGATGTTCTCCAACTTGAGATCTCGGTGGACAATCCCATTCTGAAAGAGAGGGAGTCCAGTCAGGGGAAGGGGAAAGTGCAGCAGACATAAAGGGAGCCAAGCAGGACAGAGCAGGGTGGGCTGGGACCCCCAACTTTAGCGATATATAATGCAAGGCCCTTGGATTCCTGGTCGACACTCAAAGCCAGAGACACCAACACTGCTGGCCTCAGAGTCCAGACTCCGTGCTGTCTGCCTACATGACCCCGGACAAGTCACAGAATCTCTCTGGTTCACACCAGCCTCAGAGCCCAGGGGCCACCCTCTTGGAGCATGGCTGGGTCAGGTGGTTGCTTACCTGGTGGCAGTAATGCACGGCAGAGACAATCTGCCGGAAGAAATGCCGGGCTTCGCGTTCGCTCAGCCGCTGCCGCTCGCTGATGTAGTCATACAGGTCTCCCCGGCTGGCGTACTCCATGACAATCACGATCTTGCTGCTGTTCTCAAACACTGGGCAGAGCAAGGCGGATGTCAGGGCTTCCCAGGGTATACTGTTCCCCACCGGGCGCCACATACTCCTTCCTGCTCCCAACCACACAGGTCCTCCCTCCAAGGATGTCGGTTAATGGGCAGGAAATAAGGGCCGGAAAAGGGCCTTTGGGGGACTCAGCATCTTCTTCGATCAACAAGTTAAGACCAAAGGGGCCAGGGATTTAGCTCAGTGGTTCCGCCGCCTGCCTTGCAAGCGCAAGGTCCCAAGTTTGATTCCCGGTACCAAAAAAAAAAAAAAAAATAGTGGCAATCTCAGGGGATTGGGGTGAGAAACATAAAAAACAGTGACAGCGCCCAGTCTGACTGAGCCAGCTCCCATGACAGCAGACATGTAACAAAGCACTTGAAAAATGGTATCTACCGTTATATTTCTCATAGGTGTTCCCTATATATGAACTTGAAAAGTAATGCCAATAGTGTCTGCCTCCAGGATCGGAGGAGGGACAAAAGTGTACGAAAATGGACCAAGAACTACTCAGTACTGTGGACAGCTGAGAGGTCACCTCTCCCATCATCTTTGACCTCCTGTCCAGGGTACCCAGGCCAAGGCCTCGTGCAGAAGGCCTCACACACGAAGCAATCAATGAATATGTGGTCATTAATTGGACGGCTGGCTTCCTGGCAGTCGGCCCACCCCAGCTGGCTCATCGCCACATGTAGGAGGGGCCTTCTTGCTACTTCAGGCCTTGTCCTGGCTCCAGCACCCTGGAAAGGTATGGAGCAGCTGGTTCACCAGACCGGCCCTTCAGCTAGTGTGTGTCAGAACATGTATGTCCACGCTGTTGCATCTTTGCAACAAACAGGTCCTATGAGTTTGGCCTGCTTGGCCAGCTCCAGACCTATTGCTGTCTGGCCTCTGAGAAGGAATTGAGGAACAAAGCTTTTGCTAAGAGGAGTCTCAGCTCCCAGGAAGCTGGACACAAAGCCATGGGGCCAGTGCTTTTTCTAGGGGAACATGGTGGCCTAGCATCCTAAGGCATGCCTGGCTGAGTCTCCACTCCTATGGTTCTCAGTGCCTTTGCAGGGGTGCAACACTGTGCCATGAAACTGGGGATCAAGAGCCAGCCAGGTCACATTCTGGAAGCAACTAGGATAGGGCACCCACGTGCCTGGAACAGTTGTCTGACTTAGCTTTCAGTCTTCCTGGATTGCTAAGGATCTTACTGGGCCGGGGAGTTCCCAGGACTGGAGCCTTTCCGAGGCCAAAACCCTTGAATCTTACACTGGCAGGATGGGGACAATCTGGGAGAGCCTTTCAGACACACAGTAACTGTGATGCCCCTACATCTGCTGAATCTGCACATGCAGGAGAAGCCACGTCCTGAGTGTCAAGCTCAGCTCCTACAGCCAGCTGGGGACCTCGGTTTGGGGAGAGCTGATTTCTACTCGTGGATGCAATGCCCAATCACCAAACTCAGCCTGACTCAACCAATACTTTGTCATCTGCCCACTCTTCCCTGAGGGAAGTACACAAAGATACAATTAGCTTTCTCAGTCACTTGCCTGGGCTCCTCATGGGACAGGTGTAGGCCACAGGGCCATGTCAGTGGTTCCACCCTTATTCTCCTTAAGATCCTGAGAGTGAAGAAGACTTCTCTATTTTGCCCCAGCAGGAATCTTCAGACAGGGAGCAAAGCCACAGGCTTTCCTGCCTCCTTGCCACTGCCTCTATCATCCCTGGTGCCCACCTAACTGCTATTACATCAAGGCTCGAAGCAGACAGGTGTGTGGGGGAGGGTACTCCTCCTCTCCCTCGTCACTCTGCCTTGATCACTTTGTTGTCTGGGTCACAGAAGTGGGCAGCTGGGGTGGAGAAGCTGATTCAGAGGAAAGGAGGCCAAGACAGATGGAGAGAGGTAGGAGACAGTACTGTGCTAGGAGTGACTCAGGGCACAGGCTGAATTCTAAGAAGTCTGGCTCTGGGGATGCATGAAAAATAGCACCACGTGCCTGGGACAGGTGCAGGACAATGTGGGTTTCAGCCTCCCTGGATTGTGAAGGCTCTCACTGGGCAGGGAGCTTAGGGTTCAAGCAGGGAAAAACCAACAGCAACAACCAAACTTGTCCTACCTTGAGTTCCTCCCATGAGCAAGGCACTCAGTGACATTATCCAGTTTAATTTTTGTAACCACCCCATGACACAGATGGGATTATCCCATGTTGTGAACGAGGAACTGAGGCCCAGAGACATCATTAAATGCATTGTCCTAACTCATATCACTAGGTTTCAAATCCACTTTTTACCAACCCTAAAGTCCTTGTCATTTTTACTTCTTTGTGATGTTAGTTCCGCGTTCCCTTTTACACACACGCACACCCAGCTCCCAGCTGCACCTGCCCCACGCTGTACCTTCATGGATGGCAATGATGTGGCGGTGGTTGAGTGACGACATGATCTCGATCTCCCGTCGTATGTGCTTCAGATCTTGCTCATCTTTGATTTTGTCTTTCCGGATTGATTTGATGGCCACCTGGGAAGAGAGAGCGCAGAAGACTGAGGAGAAAGGTCTGGCGGGAAGTATCTGTGAGGATGATTTGGAGAGCCTGGTCTTGGGGGGGTTGCCTGCAGCTGCTACACAGGCCCCAGGGTGCACCCGGGGAATCCAGGGTAGGCGGGAGAGGGCACTGCTCTCCAGGGCAGGTGGTGGACAGGCTGGACAGCGCCTTCTCTTGACAAAGTTCTCACTTGGGTCCAGGGCAGTCCATGTGTGCAGCAGGAAGGGGTAGAGACCAGTGGCCTCCTTGTTCAGTCTACGGACGGACAAGAAAGGTAACGACCTGCACCCTCAAGCCCGATGCTCCATGATTTACAAAGCAAACTTGCCATGCTGCACCAGGACTGGGACCGTTTTGCTCATGCTTGGACCCTGCATGCCAAGCGTATCACCGGGCACACAGTAGACACTGATACCAGTTTACTGCATTCAGCGAATTGGCCCTCGCAGCAGCGCTGGGAGGTAGGCACAGAAAGTCTTGTTATCCCCACTCACAGGTGAAGCAACTGGAGCACCGAGAGGCCAAATGGTCTGCTTAAAGCCGGGCAGTCGCTGAGACGCTGGCACACACTGGGGTGAGGCTGCTGGCTATTTAATTCCAAGCTTAGCCCTTTTTTTTGGCCTTGATACTCTAACTTGCTATAAACATCTGGTCTCTAGCCAAAAGGTAGAAAGAACTCAAATTTCCATCAATAGACAAATGAATAAACAAAATGTGGTACAACCTGCACATGTCATTTATATTGGACTTAATTAATTGAATCTTAGCACCCTTTTGGTGAGGAATATAAATATTTTTCATGTGTGACTTTTAAATTAATGATTTGATTGCAATGTCAATTGAATGGTATATAAAAATTGTTGTTAGTACTTTATAGCTATTATGATCCTCTTCTATGATATCATATCACTATTTGGATTTAACATCCCAATGTGATTTCATTTTTGTCATCTTGAAGACTTTTTGTCTAATACTTTGAAACAATTTACCTGTTTCTAAAATTTAGTAGATGTATAATGACTGGTTCATACAGCCATTGTAAAATATTTGATAAGTTAATAAAAATTAATTTTTCTAGCTAAAAAAAAACAAAAACAAAATGTGGTACATACAATGGACTATTATTCAGCCACAAAAATGAATGAAAAATTTTTTGTGGTGTCAGGGATCAAAAAAGGAATGAAATTCTGACATATGCTACAACACGGCTGAACCCTCAAAATATTTTGTTTATTTTTTTATTAGTACACGATTGTAGTACATAGTGATTACATTCCTCATAGGTGAACACTGAAAATATTATGCCAAGTGAAATAAGCCAGGTACAGAAGGACAAATAGTCTAAGATCCTACTTATATGTGGTGACTAGCCAGAGCAGCCAAATATATAGAGACAGAAAGTAGAGCTGAGGTCCCTCCTGAGAATATGGAGGTGAAGAGCAGATAGGTAGTTATTATTTAATGGGCACAGTGATTATTTCCTGTTTGGGGTGATGAAAATGTTTTAGAAATGGCTAGTGTGTCGATTTGCAACATTATGGATGTACATAATACACCGCTGACTTGGCCTTTCGCTGCAAGCCACAGCCGTGAATATTGCTCAGACTTCAGGAGAGGCCCGCCATGTCCTCCTAGGGCCAAAAGAAGATCTGGCTGGATCCCAAGGAGACCAGTGAAATCGCAAGTGCCACTTCCTGTTAGCAGATCTGGAAACTGATCAAGATGGGCTGATCACCCAGGCCTGTGAGCATCCACTCCCCGGCTCCCCGAAGGGTAGGCAGATGGACACGGTCAAGGCCTGGATGCCAGAGCAGGATCTGTGAGGCTGCTCTGCAATACCAGTCCCTGAGAAGACTGGCCGCCCGCATTCCACAGCCCATACCTGAAGGTGAAGGGGAAAGTGGTCAAGAAAAGCGATTCTCACCAAGCGCACCCACAAGCTGAGGGCAGACGAGGCCCACAGGAAGCTCCTGGCTGACCAGCCCGAAGCCCATGGGTTGAAGGCCAAGAAAGCAAAAGCACCATGAACACCTCCAGGCCTAGGAAGAGATAATCAAGACCCTGTCTAGGCCGGGGATTTAGCTCAGTGGTTCAGCCGCTAAGTTCCCGAGTTCGATCCCCACTACCAAAAATGAAAAACCTTATCCAAGGAGGAAGAGAAGTGGAGCGCCCTGTATGTGGGTGTGCACAGTGGCCTCAGAGAACAGTCATGAATAAAACAGCCTTTGTCCATTGAAAAAAAAATACCACTGAATTATACAGATGGTTAAAATGAAAAATGTGTATTATATTTTACCACAATTTTTTAAAATCACCAAAAAAACTAATTCCCCCCAAACAAACAAACAAACAAAAAACTGCAAACAGCGATCTTTTCAGGTAAGGAATGTCCTCTCCCTAGCAACAAGCAAACAAACAGCTAGACAGACAGAGTCCTCCAGGATTTGCTATCTTAGTCCCTACAGGTAAAAAATACTACACAAGGACTAACCCTTTTCAAGCCAGACGTGGTGACACACAACTGTAATCCCAGACTCTGGGAGGTTGAGGCAGGAGGGTCGCAAGGTTGAGCCTAGCTTCGGTAACTTAGTGACTTAGCAAGACCCTGCCTCAAAATTTAAATAATAAATGAATAAATAAATAAATAAATAAACAGATGAGCTGGGAGTGGAGTTCAGCATGAAGGCCCTAGATTCAATTCCAGTACCGGAGGGAAAAAAATAAAAACAGAAAGACTAACCCCCTGGCTGGTGTGTGGTGGGCTCAGGAAGGAGGGAGTGAGCAGAGAGGAAATGGAGGAAGAGCTGCCTCAGTGTCCCCTGCAGGACCCCACTCCACAGGGGCTCCCAGACAGCCCCACCATGGGGACTGATGGGCAACCAAGGCCAGGAGCACACAGCGAGTGTGACCTGCTGCCTGGGGACCCAGGGGCCTGGGTTCTCCAGATTCCGGCCCTGTCCCCATGGCTGTTGTCCCTGCCTCCCCCTCTCTCCGAGCCTCAGTTTTGTTTTCTGTGATAAACAGGTTGCACTAGGCTGTCGGAGGGGCTTTCCCGGTCAGACTGCGTGAAGTGAGCTGTACAAATGCCACAGGTCCTCAGAAGCTGTGACCTCAGAGGGTTCGCGGCTGCACAGGGCGGGTGGGGGTGGGGCATCCAACAGGCTGGCCGGTTCCTGGCAAGTCCTGTCCAGGAGGGGAATGGTAAATGCAAGACTTCCTCTTCAAGGGAGATAGGCAAGTTATGAGAAATCCAACGGTCCTGGCACAGAGGATGTAAACAACTCCTCATTCAATTTCCCAGGAGGGTTTGCCTCCGCTCAAGACTCAAAAGGAGACAGAGAAAAGGAAACCCCTGCTGGCGGGGCAGGCTCTAATCCAGCCTTTCACAGACTCTGGAGGCAGACAATGGCTTCCAGCTTGAGCGGGGACAGTGGGCCCTGTCAGCCTGTGTCCCCCATTGGACAAGAATGCGGAATGGGCCCTAATCCCGTAAGAAGAGCTGCTCACAATGGCCACAGCCGGTCACCCAGGCAACAAACCAGGGATGGCGTGCCCTCCTCCGCCCTGCTCCTCCCCTGAAGCTGCATCGGTGAAAGAAGGAGGCCCGCTCTATCGGGCCCTCTAGGAACCAGGCACAGAGGACAATGGCAGGCAGGAGGGGCGGTCACCATGGAGCCTCCTCCCTGAGATGCAGGGAGGCCCACACTGCAGCTGCAGGGGACAGGGGTGCCCCTCCTGCACCCACCACCCAGCTGTCTCCATTGAGCTAAGCAGAAGTCTGTGGGCTTGGAACTGAGTGGGGCGGGGGGGGGGGGGGTGGGTATGGGGTAGAGGTGTTGAATCCTCCCCAAGTAGGGGCGTCTCTCTTTTGTGGATTCAACCCAGAGCCTCATTCCCACACACCTCTCTCTCCACATCCTTCTCCGCTCCCAGAAAGGAGAGATTTTATGGACAAGTTCTTGTTTCTCTAAGTCTTTCTTTCTAAAATAAGACAATGGGTAAAATGTCGTGAGCGCTTCAGAGGCAAAGAGCTATCAAAAATATATTAATAGATATAAAACAATCTTATAGAAGCACAAATCACCAGACAATGAAAGATGGCAGCCTAAGGTGCATACAAATGCAAAGACAAGGCACATTTTGTATGCTTGGTTGTTTGCGCACACATGTAAATGTAGATGGGGAGAGAAATCATCGGCTTAAGGGCACCGCTCTAAAGACAACTGGCCTAAAACTAAGGTTCCAAAAACTGTGGGGTTTGGGGGTGCTGGGCAGAGCCTTTGTGTAGCCAGAGAATGCAGAAGTAGAACCTTGACATCCGTCTATATTAGGTTTCAGGAGGTGGCTGTTGGACTGGGGCATCCCAGGAAGGACACAGGTTAGTTACGTCACCAGCCTCCCATCAGCTTCCCTGCAGCTGAGGGACAAGAATGGAGGCAGGGGGTCGCGGGGGGGCGGGGGGGACCACAATTCCCTAATCTCTCCCAGCCCCGCTGCAGAGGCCTCCAGCTATCTCCTGGCTAGCCTGTCAAAGTAAATTAGATATAGCACCAGCCAGGGCCTAAACAGAGATCAGTACACAGAAAGCACTCACCACTTGTTTACCAGCAAATAGAAATCACAAATATTTATTGGTTAAGTTGTGACTACACTAATCTTTGACAGATGGGACCAGTGCCCAGATGACATTTCTCCCTTTCTTCCTAGCCCGAGGTGGAGTCAATCTCAGTTCCGAGCACTCACTTTTAGGGACCTTTGTTCTCACCTAGAAGGTAGTTGGCCGATTATGTTCTAGAATAAAAATCAGCTGACTAAAGCCAAGTTAACAACTGCTGACGGGATCACCCAGAGGTAGAAAGGCCACATACCCAGAGACAGCCCTGGTTCGTCCTGGTGTAATTATTGTGATTGCCTCTTTGCCTTTGCAAACTGCTCGCGTCCAGACAGTATATTACACGGCCATCACACTCAGTCAGAGGAAGGAAATCCAAGGCCAGTGAACACATGCCCAGGGGTGCCCTCAAGAACCCACGTATCGAATCATTATTTGCCTCTATCAAGCTGTGCAACTCTAGGCAGGTTACTTAGATGACTTGTTTCACTTGTCTGGCTAGTTTCAATGTCCTCATCTGAAAACCAAAAGGATGCTCATTCTCCAAATTTGCAGCAGGCTGCTGAATGCCTACGTGCCTGGTACTGTGCTAGGTGTTGGGGATTCACACAAAAACGGGACAGTCCTTGTGTTGAGGGCCCCAGTCCAAGGGGAAGACTCTTTCCATCAACTGCAGTGGAGTGTGATAATGTGCAGGCTGAGGGCCCTGTCTGCCCACAGGCTGCAGGGGCCCTGCGGAGAGCTTGCTCTGCCTGGAGGAGCAGGGGAAATGGCCCCTGGGACCAAACTCTTTCAGACCTTGAAGAATGGGTGGAGTCTGCTAAAGCAAGGGCAGTGGGTTAGGGAGGGGCAGCAGGGCTAATTCCCCATCTTATTTTGCACACAGTGAGCAGACTATCCCAAGATTCCTCGACCCATCAGATTCAGACGGAGGGATGTTGTGCAGAGAAGCTACCATCTCAGGAGATGAAAGTTCCTTGGAGGTGCCCAGCCCTGTCTCCCATCCCCATATCTTGCTCTGGGCCCGTCCCCTTTAGAGAATACAATTATGTGCACTTCTTTGTCAGCACCCTAGGAAGCGGTGCTGGGGCTCAGCTGGTAAATGCTGCCTCCCTCCCAGGAACTGAGATCAGAAATGATCCGCATTCAGGAGAGGGTGGTGGAAAGTTCTGAGGATTAAAAAAGAAAGAAAGAAAAGAAAGTCCAGAGATGCTGCTTCTGGGTGCTGAGAGGGTGCAGCGGGCATCTCCGATCGTGGCTATGGCCTGGAGTCGGAGCCAAGGTCCTGGACTCCTCTCTGGCCTTTCGTGGAGCAGCTGCTGTCTGGGAGCAGGCAAGGAGCTGGGGGATGACCCACCTAGACAGCAGAGGCAAGGGTGGGCCGACTGGCCTGGGCTGACAGAGAGGGAACAAGCCTGGGGGTGCTCACCACCCCAACAAAAAACCAAGCAGAGCCTGGTCAGAGCCCAGCAGGGAGCAGGGGTAAACTCTGAGGGGAGGCTCAGCCACCTCTCCTGAGCCCCAAACTATGCCACCCTCTCCCTGCCATCCTCCAGCCCTCTCTGCCGGGTTCCAGGTCGAGGAGCTTCCCTGCCCAGCCCTCATTGTGTGGTTTGGCTGGAGCCCAAGGACAGGAGCCCGCCTGCAGCCTCCCTCCTTGCTGCTGAGCCGGCAGATGCAGGAGGAGCGGGGAGGCTGAGTCCTGCGAACAAGCATGTGGCAGGTGGCCAGGCAGGAGTCATTCACTGAAGCGGGGGCCAGAGGAGAGACTGGGGCCTTGAAGGCAACAGAGACCCAAGTGGTTCCTCTCTAGGAAGGCTCTGGCGCATAATCCACTTGCTTGGGGCAGCACAGTCCTAGGACAGAGGAGTCCCCAGGAAAGGGGTCATAACACTGTACATGTTAGATACGTTGCATATCTAAGCATTTTATATATATTATCTTACTGACTCCTAGGAGAATCCCATGTGGCAGGAATATTATAATCCCCACATTACAGATGAGAAAACTGAGGCCAAACAGCTGGTAATGATCTGAACCCTTCCAGTCTCAACTCTGAGCTAGGAGCCTCTCCAACATGGTTTAAAAACCAGGAAAGTACTGTAGTCCCCCACCCAGGATCCCTCAACAGAGCCAAGTGTGTGTGTGTGGGAGGGTGAGGGCTGGTTCCTAGGGACTCTCCCCACCCTTGCCATTGCCTGGGCTCCGGGACAGGAAGGAGGAGCTTGCTGCTGGACTGACACAGCACCCAGAGGCAAGCCCAGGCTCATCAAGGCCAGGTTTCACACCTAGACTCAGCACTTGGTCATCTGGGGATTGGGGTGGACAAGTCTGGAGCCTATGTTTCAGGTTTGCCACTAACCAGCCAAGAAAGAATAAGTCACATCCCTTCTCTGGGCCTCAGGTCCAACACTACTCCCCGCCCCCACCCCCCCACCCCGTCAATGAAGGAGTCAGATCAACTCAGTCATTTTCAAACATCTTGGAAATGTTTGAACTGGGTGATTCAATATAGAAAAGAGATAGAGGTAGGGCCCACCCCAGAGAACTGCACATGTGAACTCCCCTCATTGCCCACCTCGGCCCCCCTTGGAGGGGTGGCTTCCATGGACATCATCCCCGAGGCTTTGGCGGCCTCTGCCATTCCAGGATCCCCCGCATGTGTTTTCCTCCTTAGGGGGAAGGGGTGGCCAGGGGAGCTGGGAGAATCACAGGAGGAAATGTCATTTGGATACCAGGAATGTGTCCAAGATCCAGAGCAAATATTTGTTTTTGCTCCGATGCCCTCTTGGAGCAGCCCTTAGTCCCACCCACCTGCCCCTGCCCCTCCCTCCCCGCAATCCCATCTGGCTCCTGCTAATTCCATCTGGGCAGGGTGGGAGCGGGAAGTGTTTGAGAGAGGTGGAGAGGACCTTGGGATGAAAGTTGCTAAGCAGGCCTCCTCTGCATCTCGCCCTCATCACAATCTCCATTTGTCTGGGACAGCTCCTGTGCCCCTCTCCTCACCGCAGGGTCCTGAGAGTCTGATCTCGCTGTATTCAGAGGGGACAGTCAAGATGCAGGGTTGGTGGATGAGAAAGAAGGCAAAGCTCCAGGATCAAGAAATCATCGGCACAGCAGAAAGCTGCTCTCTAAGAAAGAGGGGGACCCTGAGCAAATTCCCAGCAGCAGTCCTGGGTGGTCTATGGATCAGGGAGTTCAGAGCAGGTCCCAGCCTACGGATCTTATCTCTTTACATACAGCAAGTGCAGCAAGAGGCACAAGCCCTGGGAGTTCCTTCTGAATTCTCTGTTCTGATGTAATAAGAGCTGGAATCCCTGCCTAGAGCCACTAAAAGCTAATTTATCTCTGAAGTCAAATGAGACACCCCACCCCCTCGCCTCGCAGCCCACAGTGACCCCAGTCAATAGCTTCTGAACTTCAGTCTCAGTTTCTGGGCTACCCCAGTCCCCACAACCCAGTCTCCCCCCTGAACAGGAGCACAGGAACAAGGGGCACCAGCCATGAGCACCTATTTCTAGCTCCAGCCTTGACAAAGCCCAGCCGCAGCAGTCTCAAACTTGGAGCCTCCCTGGGCCCTTGCTCTATAGAACGAGAAAGAAAAGGAAAGCCGGGAAGTACGCGATTGCCCAATAGCTGTAACCTGGCAGCAGGCAGCTGGGGACTGTGCCAGGCTTTAGCAGGAAAAACATACTCGGTCCTGTTGATGGGGCCATAATCCACTCCTTTCTCTACCATCCACTCTTCCTTCACCAATGAAATGATTTCTTGAGTTCCAAACCAGCTAGTAGCTGCAAAAGCAAACACAATCCGAGGAGGGGAACGCTGCCATAACCAGTAGGGCAAACTATGGCCATAAACACACACACACACACACACACACACACACACTTCACAATAAGCACCCAACTGGATCTGGCAAAACATGATCCCTAAACCACCTGTTCTCTAAATCTAAAAGGCTTGTTAAAATATGAATTATGGGCCTCCAAAATAAATTCCCTTGACTGTGGAAGCAGAGAATAAGTATTTTCAAGAAGCACCCCGTCTAAATCCCATGCACACTTAAACTCAAGTTTGAGAAGCACTGTTAACCACTGTTAGCTGACTTCTGGTAAATCCATCCTTTCCGGGCTGGCCTTTCTAGATACAAATATCAATTCTAGGACCGGGGATTTAGCCCAGTGGTTCCATTGCCTGTCTCGCAAGCGCAAGGACCGGAGTTCAATCCCCAGTACCAAAAAAAAAAAAAAAAATCAATTCTTGCCACAAGTTCTATTCATCAGGAATACTTTAAATTCACATTTGTATCCTATTCAATCTTCCTAGTGGCTGTGTTTTCTACTTTTTTTTTTTTTTTTTGCAGAAGGGGAAACTGAGAATTCAGAGATGCAGGAAATTGCCCAAGGTCACAGATTACCATGACTACAACATACACACACACCAAATCAACAGGACAAGTTCTGCAAAAAGCCCCAAACCCAAAGGTATCTTGAGGCACAGTGCACCTGGCACCAGAGCCTGGCTTTACATCTCCCTGAGTCGAAAACCCATCAGAATGAAATTCTGCTTCAGTTTTGAGTGTCAGACCCACCCCTGTGCGGATCTCCACGGTATGCTGGACCGCCAGGCTGTAAGCGCGGCAAATCCCCCTATCTTGTTCATCCGTTCAACCACACACCTAGTTATCAAACCCATGCTAAGATCGGATGCCTTCTACTTTCTCTTTCCATTCCACTCTATCGAACAGTCTGCTCCGAGCGAAATTCAACTTGAACCACATCTTCTCTAAGGACCTGCGGTCTGGAGCTGCCGGAGCTCTCGGGGCCGCGCTCTGTCCCCACGATCTCGGACGGACACGGCCGCCGGGGACACGCACCGCGAGGACTCACCAGGCGCCCCGAGCTCTCGCGCGCCTTCTTCACCTTCCCGTAGGTGCCCTTGCCCAAGGTCTCCAGGAACTCGTAGCGGTGCCGCAGGTTGTGCTTGTGGTGGTGTCGCTTCACCGCCTGCTTCTTCATCAGGGGCTTGGGCGACTGGATGAGCCTGTCGCCCAGGGCCCGGGGGAGCTCCGTGGCCAGGTTGGTGGCGGAAGAGGGAGCCGCCGGGCCCGGGCGACTGGGGAAGGCCAGAGACTCCATGGCGAGCAGGAGGTGAGGAAGGCCGAGGAGAAGCGATCAGGTGCGTGGGGAGGGTTACGGCGAGGGGCACATGATCGCCCAGATCGGAAAGTTGCCGCCGGGAAGTCACCGTTGGGACGGAGCGCGTTGAAAAGCACCGCATTCCAAGTTGTTATAAATGCTCTGAGCCGGAGGCCCTGGCCACGCCCCCGACGCCCATTGGCCTGCTCGCCGGCTGCGCGTGACCAAGGCCTCCCGCATTGGCTCCCTAGGGTTCAGGCCCCGCCTCCTCCCCTCCGCAAAGGCTGGGAAAGGTGTTGGGGGCCCCGCCCACCTGGGTCTGGAGGGACCAGAATGCGGACCCGGAGCTCTGTGGAGGCTGGTGGGCCGCTGGGTGCTACTGAAATCCAGAACCTTACTTTGAGGGCCCTCGGAACTGCTCTAGCTTCTGAGTGCCCCTTGGTCCCCATTAGAGCCACTTGGTTTATGGCGCTGTGTTCTCTGCTGGCAAAGGGCGACCTCAGGATGCTAGAGGTCACCATCATTTGCTTCTTTCTCCCAAGCCAAAATCTAGGAAGTCAAGTTTGATAATCTTTGTGTTCGTGAAGAGAAAAGGAGAAAGGAGAATGGAATGGGAGGGCAGGTAGACAGCTTTCGAGAGCTCACTTCTCTACAGTTAGATCAGCCTGGACTGGATCCTGGAATCCAATGGTCTGGGGAGGCCCTTACTCCTCGTGGAAGAAGGCTTGTAGGGTGGAGGTATAGTGGGATTTATGGTGTGTTTATTCATTCGTGAAAAAATAAATTACACTCCTACTAGTTAACCTGTGTCCTTAAATCTATAAATAGCTGCTCTACCCAAGGTCTTCCCCGTGATTTTAGAGCCAAGAGGACTTGTGGTACTTCATGAGGTTTGGCTTGGGTTTTGAGGGGCTGGGTCTGGAATTCCCTTTTAGAGTCAACTGAAATTTTGTTTGTTTGTTTTGGTGGTGCCGGGGATCAAACTTAGGACCTCGTGCTTGCAAGTCAGGCGCTGTGTCATGAGCTAAATCCCCGGCCCTCCCTTATAGAGAGAAACAAGTTGTCCACAGGCTTTTCTCTCCCTTCTAACTGAGGAAGAAAGGAACACTTCCTTGTAGCTTTCTAGAATTGATAACCCAAATCTGTGTAGCAACTATTGTTCTCCCCAAGGCTGCACAACTGGTGAGATTCAGACCCTGTCTGTGGGGATGACAGTGAGGACAGGAGCCCCTCCCACAAGCAGACAGGGCCCCAATGGGCTCCAGCTGTGCACACTACATCCCCCCCCCCGCCCCCCCGCCACCTGGGAGGATGGTTCTCCAGCCGTATATTCAGGGGATACGGAAGATCAAGAAAGACTAGATCCCCAGGTGGTAAATTTCTTATTTAGTGTTTGCCCACTTGCCTACTTCTACTGGCCCTCTGAGCCTTCCCAGTGTGAGTTATAGATGTCTCCATCCCTCCATGGAGCCCTTCACCCTTGTGACTGGAGATCAGGATCCCCCTATGCAGGACCCCAATTTCCCTCCCCCAAATCTGGGGGCCCACAGGACATGGTAACTGGTTTGGCTTCTTCCCTTTACCAGCTTCCCCTTTTGCTTAGGTTATCTGTGAAAAGGGAATGAGTTCTGTTACCCTGATCTACTGTTTCCTGTCCTTTCTGATGTCTGTATCCATTCCTGGGGGCCTATCTGGTCTGGTTAGGACTCTTAAAGAGAAGCTCCGGTAATTGGTAATCGGTAATCGAAGAGGCAGCACAAGGGGGAGTGCCAGAAGAACTCAGTTCTAGTCCTGACTCACACAAATGAGCTCTGTACCTTCTGCCAGGCTCTGTCCCTACTTACTCTACAAACACTGAGGACCACTCAGTGCTGGGGCAGGGGATAAAATGGTGACAAGATACTCATGGTTTCTACCTTCACAGAACTTTCAGTCTCCTGAGAAATAATCCTATACAGAAGTAGAAGTGTCTACGGTGGGGAAAGAACAGAACGCCTTTGGGATGTTTAAAGGGAGGGAGCCCCCCAGGAGGAGGGTAGTGAGGGGGTGCTTCTGGTAGACAGGGCTTTTAAAGCTGAGATCTGAAAGACATGTGGCAATTGGTCAGCTGGATGAAAATTTCCTTGTAAGTAAAACAAAGAATTATACAGATAAACCCAAGATCACCTTTTAGGCTAATCACCTAATCTAGGCTCTATGAATGTTTGCCAGACACCATCCTCTGCCGGGCATATAAAAGTTGCTCAATGGATGTACAGTAGAATCTGAAGACTAAGTTGAAAAGGCCTCCATGTGGCTGATCTCCCTCTGTTACTAGCTAAACTGGTGGTGTGGGGGGCACATTACCTGTATGCCCTTGGACCTTCCCCACCACCACTGCAGACTCCAATCTGGATGGATGACCAAAGGCCCCAGAAAAAAGAGATCTCCCCAGTTGCAGCAAAGTCCAGACTGGCAGCCCACAGCGGGCGAGGTGATGCATCTTGGCTGTTGTCTGTTTCCAGTAGGCAGCAAGGAAGGCAAACAGACACAGAGCCAGAATAACGCACACCTTGGAAATGATCCTGACTGCTGGAAGCCAACTCTCACATTCCTCAGAGGAAGATCTGGGTGATGACAGAGTGAAAATGTCCAATAGGGACTTGGCTGTCAGCAGATCTTGGGGAATTCCTGTGTCATGTGCTTGGATGTCTGGACTGTGCTGAGCCTCCCCCTCTCCTGTCTGCCTCAGCCTTCAGGCCTGGGAGGGGAAAGTCTCCTCCTGCCCCCATGCCCCATCACTGACTAATGTCTTAAAGGCTGCTCTTGAGGACAACCATTTACTGCACCTACTATGTGCACACTGGGAGACAGCTAGGAATAAGCATCTGTCCCCTCCTTCTGCACTTCACTATCTATGTGGGCAGCGTGCATGTGTGTTGGTGGGGGTCTCGGGTAGTAAAAGGGGCTTGAAAGCGGCTCAGAGTGACAAGTCCTGTGGTGCATGGTGTAGACAGGGGCACAGCTGAGGGGCAACCAGGCCATGCTTTGGAGTGAGGTGGGGGTGGGAGCAGATTGAATAGGTCTCCAGCACATCCGGCATGAGATCTGAGGGATGACTAAGAATGAGCTCCCTGCTCTCAGAAGTTTACCATTTAATAAACGAAATACAATAAATAACAATTTCCCACATCACCCAGGGCAGAAAGTGGGCGGGTTCTTAAGAGAGTACAAAGCAGCACATGGGGTTGAAAGGATGGGTCTTATTCTGGCTCAGGAGCTCCGTGGAGGCTTTACTAGAGTCCAGTTGAACCTTGAAGGCTGGGTGAAATTGAGAGCAGCCTTTGGGGATGAAACAGGGAGGTGGGGGTGAGGGTAAAAGAGAAGGGATGACAGAGAGCATGCTGTGTGTGATGGCTCTGGACCAGTGGTGGCAAAACTATGGCATACATGGCACAACAGGCACACATAGCCCTGCCTGTCAGCACGCGATCCAAGTCACCCCAACAGTTTCATTGCAGTGTGGGCATTTTGTGATGAATAACTGAGTTTTGGGTTGCTGGTTTGCCGTCACTGCTCTGGAAGGTCCCCAGGACCCTAGAGTATCTCCTCCCTTGGAATTATTTTAGTATAGATGCCTGGGCTCCTCTCCCCCTTTCCTGGGGAAAAAGAGGAGGCTGGAGGGCTCCGCTCACCTCCTACATCCAGCCGGAGACCTCAACCTTCAAACTGCCTTTCCCCAGAACACAGAGGATGAATTACAGCCCCCCCCCCCACCCTGTGTACAGTAAGGCCTGGAAGATGTTGACTTTTCCCATTTCCGGCCTGGGAGAGCCTGGATAGGAACCTGCTTGTTAAAACTGGCTTTCCTGGACATGGTGGAAATCCAGAGAGGGATGTAAATCCCAGTAGTCTTCAGCAAGTTGAGATGTCTGGCTCAAAGCTGCCCTCTTCTGACCAAACTAAGCCTAGCAAGATTCTTGGGATGCCCTACGCCGTGTCTACACCCTGAAGTTGGTTTAGACCATTCATTTGCTCGCTTCATTCAACAAATATACACTGAGCAACCACAATAATAGGTATAATGACCTAACACTTACTGATCCAGCCCTGTTTCTAGGCTCTTAGATACAGTGTCACATCTAAGAGCACCCAGCTAGAAGTAGCAGAGCTGAGAGGTAAAACCTGCCAGTGTGATATCACAGCTTGTGCACCTGACGATTGCATTGCCTTGTGCTGCTAGCTCTGGAAGTACAAGACGGAATTAATGAGCTGTAAAAAGTCTAAATTCTAGTAAGTCTTACCAGGAGTTTGGAGAATTTTGTGCTAAAACACTGAAGACAGCCCTCAAGATCTCAGTTAAATGGGGCAATTTGATGTCATTCACAGGTGACTCCCCAAAGGGGAAGTCTATGGAGGAGAAGACACGCCAGAGAGCTAGCCCCACCTCTGGGCTGGAGAGGTGAGGATGCTTTGCATGGAGGGACAGGAACCAGGAGTCTGAGGTCCATGTCCACTTCTCCCTTTCGACCCATAAAGTGGCCATGGCCAAGGACTTTCTCTATTGAGAGGGGTTCCTTATTGACAAAGAAGGATTTGAGTAAATCAACTCTTGAGTCTCACTTCAAATATGTTGTAACCCCTCTGCAATATCTGAACACGGACCCATTAGAAATCTCAGTTACTCCTCTTCTTTTGCCTGCCTGGTACCTGATTCCCTCACTAAGGGGCATTCAGGACCCCCACCCCCTGCCTCACCCACAGGCTGCACGATGTTTTGGTTCTGGAGTCTGGCAACCTGAGCTCCAGGCTCTGGTCGGCCAGTGATGGACTGTGGGTGCGTCTCATCTCTCTGCAACTCTATGGAAAACAATGATGATCTTTCATACAGCCACAGCAGCATGCCAGCCACTGTCACTTAGGTGACCTGTCCTAATGAATTCAATTCTCACTACAACTCCGTACAGTAGGAGGATAATCTCCTCATTGCACAGACAAGGAAGCCGAGACACAGAAAAAGTAAGCAACTGCCACTTCAAAGTCACCAAGCCAGCAAGTAGCACTAGCAATGGCATGTTCCACCATTCTTTGGCTTGGAGAGAATTCCTAGTTTGCCCAGAATTTCTAGTAGACCTAGCTTCTTTATGTCCTAGTTGACTGATAGGAAATGTGCCTGCTGCCTACCTTGTGGGCTTGCTG